ACGTTGTCGCCATTAACCACAAGACACCCCATAGTCTGTGATAGCGAAGATAGGACCCTCCTGTCTAGCCCTACCCCGTGTAACGTAGTAGAATCCGTGCAACCTGGAATCACCCGAAGGAAACCCGGAAACTCTACTCCTCCTCGCACGCCCTAACGGGATCGCGTTTGGAGTTTGGCATATGATCCTAAACTACCGGTAGACCTCACTAGTAGCTACTCCAATGAGTGGAACAACACCGAACACGAATGATTAGACCAAATACGTCTCAACTGCAATGGGTCTAATCCCTGAATGACCGTGCGACTAAGTCACCCAGTTGTCCGACTACTATCGTCCACTATCGCCAAAGTGTTACGGTACATCGGGGTCGAATATCCTAACCCCAGATGATGCCCTCGCCTAGCACTACCGCACACGGCGACTAAACGATAGATCCATAAAACATATCCGATAAATCGTGCGATGTGTGCAGCATGTCAATAAGTGAATTTAATGAAAAGGGCTGGTGAGACGGCCCACCTATCCTCCTTTTCATAAATTCACCAACACGATCAAATACGTATATCAAATATCGTAAAACGAAGTTTCACACATGCATATACACACACATATATACATATATAGATGCACTGACCAAATGATTCCACATAATATCATATCAATATCAGAATCAGAATCACATGCAACATAAATACCTAATTTCTTAAAATTAGATTTAATTCCCTACTGCTTACCTCCTACCGATACTTTCTGGATTTTTATAACTTCACCCAAATATCCTCCAACGTACACCTGTTCCATTATTTACTCAAATCAGATGAGCTTTATGCTTATTCTCAGGAGCTACCTGCTTATTCAAAACCTAATTTCTATAATTAACTCGTCGGGCTCCAAACTTTTATATTTAGTAGAATATGATATTCTAGCTATAAAATCCTTCTACCTCATAATATTTATATTGCCCGATTATTAAATAAAAATACGCAAAGGTATGAACAAGCAGGCAGGTGCAATATACTGCCGTTTTTTATTCGACTTGGATTGGTACGAAATTCTCAAAATATAACGTCGGCGCTACGAATAGGCTATTAGCTAAAGAAATTCATCGATTAAATAGCTAAATAGCCAATTTTGAATTTTTGAAGAATTTCTAATTTAATACTCCAATATCAAAATTCGTATTAAAATTTATAATCGGACTCTACGAATAGCAAGGAATACCATACCGAAATCGGAATCGAAATCGAACGGCTAAATCTTTTCTTTCTTCTTTTCTTCTTTCTCTTCTTTCTCCTTCGCGTTCTTCTGCTTCGGCCTTCCTTCACAGGTAAGTTTGTTATATATATATATAATTATATTATTATTATATATATTATATTATATTATTATTATTATTATTATTATATATTTTATATTTTATATTTATATTTATCAATATTTATCCGTTTAACAGTCTATTTAATTATAACTAATATACAAAATTGGAATATAATTTATCCCAAAATATTAATTTCTTGATTCCATTACTATTGTCAAATATTTATTTGCTATAATAATATTATTTTATACATTCCGAAATCGGGGCATTACAATCCACTCCCCCTTAAAAAGATTTCGTCCCCGAAATCTAAACTCAAACACATAACAAGGCAACTTAATTAAACAATTGTGGGTATGCCTTGAACATTTCTTGTTCTACTTCCCACGTGGCCTCTTCCGCTCCATGTCTGGACCACATTACTTTCACCATACGAATATCTCGATTCCTCATGGTTCGGACCTTTGTGTCCATGATCCACAGAGGCTTTTCTTCATACGAAAGATCTTCATTCAGCTCTATCTCATCTGGAGATAAAATATGAGAAGGATCTGCGACATACCTACGAAGCTGAGATATATGAAACACATTATGGATACGCTCCATAGAATTTGGAAGTGCCAACCGATAGGCCCAATCACCAACTCGATCGACAATTTCATAAGGTCCAACATAACGCGGACTCAATTTTCCTTTAATCCCAAACCTTCTAATACCTTTCATTGGGGATACTTTCAATAAGACAAAATCTCCACTTTGAAATTGACCCTCACGTCGGGCTCTATCGGCATAACTCTTTTGACGATCTTGATCTGCCTTCATCTTTTCTCTGATAATTCGAATCTTATTTTTCGATTCCTCAATCATTTCCGGACCCAGTATCAGTCGATCACTCATATCGTCCCAACTCAAAGGAGTTCTGCATTTTCGACCATAAAGAGCTTCAAAAGGAGCCATTCCGATACTTGCTTGATGGCTATTGTTATATGAAAATTCCACTAAATCCAAGTGGTCTTCCCAACTCCCTTGAAATTCCATAGCACAAGCTCTTAGCATATCTTCCAGAATACGGATAGTTCTTTCTGACTGACCATCAGTCATAGGATGGAATGCAGTACTCATATGCAACTGAGTACCAAAGGCTTCCTGCAATTTTTGCCAAAATCGAGATTGAAAACGTGGATCACGATCTGATACGATCACCTCAGGAATACCGTGTCGTTTAACCACATAATGAACATATAATTTGGCTAATTTCTGCATACTCCAAGTCATACGTACTGGAATGAACACTGCTGACTTGGTCAATCTGTCTATAATCACCCAAATTGCATCTGTTCCCGACTTTGACCTTGGAAGTCCTGTTACAAAATCCATTGCGATAGAATCCCATTTCCAGAGTGGAACTTCTAAAGGTTGTAGCAACCCCATTGGTCTATGATGTTCTGCTTTTACCTTTTGACAATTTAAACATCGTGCAACAAATTTGGCTACATCCTTCTTCATGCCCTTCCACCAAAAATGTTGACGTAGGTCATGATACATTTTATTTCCCCCCGGATGCACTGAGTATGGTGTATTATGAGCCTCACTCATAATCTGCTCTTTCAAATCATTTCGATCCTTTGGGATACACCACCTCCCGTGAAATCGAAGACTCCCATCTGGAGCAATATTAAAATTTTGAGTCTGACCGTACTGAACTTTTACTGCAAGCTCAACCATTTTATTATCTTCCATTTGAGCCGCTCTAATGCGATCATAAATTTCAGGCTCAACTTGTATCATTTGCAAATATCCCCGAGTCATACCCCGTCCAAGTACCTCAATTTCCATCCGCGCTAAATCTTGGCACAGTTCATCAGCAACCGACATGAAGCCCAAGTTATGCCTTGGTTTTCGACTTAAGGCATCGGCTACAACATTTGCTTTGCCTTCATGATACACAATTTCAAGATCATAATCCTTCACCAATTCTAACCATCTTCTTTGTCTTAAATTCAATTCTTTTTGGGTGAAGATATATTTCAAACTTTGATGGTCAGTAAATATTCTGCAATGGGCTCCATAAAGATAGTGTCTCCAAGTCTTCAAAGCAAACACCACTGCTGCCATTTCCAAGTCGTGTGTCGGATAATTCTCTTCGTGAGGTTTTAGTTGTCGTGATGCATAAGCAATAACTCTTTGATTCTGCATTAAGACACATCCCAATCCCTGCTTCGAAGCATCACTATACACTTCAAAATCCTCACCTTCCACTGGTAAAGCCAAAATTGGCGCTGAAGTTAATCGATGTTTCAATTCTAAAAAGGATGACTCACACTCGTGATCCCAGTTAATCTTTGCATCCTTTTTCAGCAAATTAGTTAATGGTTTTGCAACCTTCGAAAAATCAAGAACGAATCGCCGATAATATCCTGCCAAACCCAAAAAGCTTCTTACTTCTGATTGATTGGTAGGTCTTGGCCAATCCATGATTGCCGCCACTTTAGAAGGATCTACTGAGATACCCTTTCCAGAAACAACATGCCCCAAGAAAGCAACCTCCTTAAACCAAAACTCGCATTTGGATAACTTGGCATATAACTTTCTTGCACGCAATATGTTTAATATTACATGCAAATGTTTTGCATGCGTCTTTTTATTTGGGGAATAGACCAAGATATCGTCAATAAATACCACCACAAACTGATCGAGGTATGGTTGAAAAATTCTATTCATCAACTCCATAAACGCAGCCGGGGCGTTAGTCAACCCAAAGGACATAACCGTGAATTCATAATGCCCGTATCTAGTCCGAAAAGCTGTCTTCGGAATGTCATGCTCTGCAATCCTTAGCTGATGATATCCAGATCTCAAGTCAATCTTTGAGAATATAGTTGCACCTCCCAGTTGATCAAATAGATCATCAATCCTCGGAAGAGGATATTTGTTCTTCACCGTGACTTTGTTCAGTCCACGGTAGTCAATACATAACCTCAAACTTCCATCCTTCTTTTTCACAAATAAAACTGGAGCTTACATCCAAAGTGACATACTTGGTAAATATATTCATTGTCCAGCGATTCTTGCTTCTTCGCTTTTCTAATATGCGACGGTATAAACCTAGCCTTTAACTTTGCTTTAAATTCATCCCAAGTCATATCCACTTGGTCTACACCTGCAGCTTCTTCACCTAACCACCACCGATTTGCTCGGCCTTCCAAGAAATAGGCTCCAATATTAACTCGTTGATCTGGCGGAACCTGAACAACACGAAATATCTTTTCCATCTTTTCAACCCAAAACTCAAGGACTCCTGGCTCCACTGAACCAGAATATGTTGGTGGGTTATGCCGCATCACAGCATCAATGAAACTCCTCTGTTGAGGCATCATCGCGGCCATAAACTGCCGAAAGAAATCCTGACTAGGTGCCTTTGTTGGTACATGCGCTGGCACAGGATACGGTGACTCATCAGACGAAGGATCAAACTCTGGGCCTTGAATAGCCCTACGTACACCACCACCTCGAGAATTCGACATACTGCCCCCAATTTTTCCTGATTCAATATCAATTCAGCACACAGCTAAACCAAGCATAACAATAAAAGATAGATCACATTAACATGAATGCACCCGCAAAACCCAAACCTCACCAAACCAATTCAATATCATTGTTATTTTCAAAACCTTTTTAATTCAAAGAGCCAAAATCTATCAAACCTAGGCTCTGATACCAACTTGTAACACCCCCAGTTGGCTCATACTGGAAATGCTACCGCCACACTGCATCATGAGGTCGTCACCTCCTACTTCGGGCCCCACAACACAGTGTTAAGGCTAAAATTAATTATATAAGCATTTTATTATTTCCAAAAAACAAGTTTATAAATATTTACAAAAACATACTCCCAAAACGGGAGGTTTTTCTAGTTAGAATTTACATATAATACATCAGATGCAGTTCACTCATTCAGCCCGTCTTTCTATCTCCCGAGACGTCCCCTGTCCCGGAGGTGCCATGCGTACCTGAATCAAATATTTTTCTTAAAAGCAGTCTAGAATTAAATCCATTTTAAGAACTAACATAAAATATGCCATGTCATGCTCGAAAATAGAGTTTAATTTCCGTCATTTGCAAAATAAATGCCATGCCATGCCCATACTGAAATAATGTAACAATAATGTCAAAATCGACAACTCATGCACATATACCCATATACATAGGTCAAAGTGAGCAGCCGGAATAACCTCGGCTCCATAATTACAGCTCACTAGACTACCATCAATAAATAGCCGGAAAATCCTCGGCTCAAGGAAGGACCTGGTAAACCCATAATAATATAACGGTCACCCGGTCACTCCCATATACCCACCATACGACTCCCGCAATCAATACATGGATAGTCGAACGTTGTCGCCATTAACCACAAGACACCCCATAGTCTGTGATAGCGAAGATAGGACCCTCCTGTCTAGCCCTACCCCGTGTAACGTAGTAGAATCCGTGCAACCTGGAATCACCCGAAGGAAACCCGGAAACTCTACTCCTCCTCGCACGCCCTAACGGGATCGCGTTTGGAGTTTGGCATATGATCCTAAACTACCGGTAGACCTCACTAGTAGCTACTCCAATGAGTGGAACAACACCGAACACGAATGATTAGACCAAATACGTCTCAACTGCAATGGGTCTAATCCCTGAATGACCGTGCGACTAAGTCACCCAGTTGTCCGACTACTATCGTCCACTATCGCCAAAGTGTTACGGTACATCGGGGTCGAATATCCTAACCCCAGATGATGCCCTCGCCTAGCACTACCGCACACGGCGACTAAACGATAGATCCATAAAACATATCCGATAAATCGTGCGATGTGTGCAGCATGTCAATAAGTGAATTTAATGAAAAGGGCTGGTGAGACGGCCCACCTATCCTCCTTTTCATAAATTCACCAACACGATCAAATACGTATATCAAATATCGTAAAACGAAGTTTCACACATGCATATACACACACATATATACATATATAGATGCACTGACCAAATGATTCCACATAATATCATATCAATATCAGAATCAGAATCACATGCAACATAAATACCTAATTTCTTAAAATTAGATTTAATTCCCTACTGCTTACCTCCTACCGATACTTTCTGGATTTTTATAACTTCACCCAAATATCCTCCAACGTACACCTGTTCCATTATTTACTCAAATCAGATGAGCTTTATGCTTATTCTCAGGAGCTACCTGCTTATTCAAAACCTAATTTCTATAATTAACTCGTCGGGCTCCAAACTTTTATATTTAGTAGAATATGATATTCTAGCTATAAAATCCTTCTACCTCATAATATTTATATTGCCCGATTATTAAATAAAAATACGCAAAGGTATGAACAAGCAGGCAGGTGCAATATACTGCCGTTTTTTATTCGACTTGGATTGGTACGAAATTCTCAAAATATAACGTCGGCGCTACGAATAGGCTATTAGCTAAAGAAATTCATCGATTAAATAGCTAAATAGCCAATTTTGAATTTTTGAAGAATTTCTAATTTAATACTCCAATATCAAAATTCGTATTAAAATTTATAATCGGACTCTACGAATAGCAAGGAATACCATACCGAAATCGGAATCGAAATCGAACGGCTAAATCTTTTCTTTCTTCTTTTCTTCTTTCTCTTCTTTCTCCTTCGCGTTCTTCTGCTTCGGCCTTCCTTCACAGGTAAGTTTGTTATATATATATATAATTATATTATTATTATATATATTATATTATATTATTATTATTATTATTATTATATATTTTATATTTTATATTTATATTTATCAATATTTATCCGTTTAACAGTCTATTTAATTATAACTAATATACAAAATTGGAATATAATTTATCCCAAAATATTAATTTCTTGATTCCATTACTATTGTCAAATATTTATTTGCTATAATAATATTATTTTATACATTCCGAAATCGGGGCATTACAATAGTAGTTTGCTCGGTCATCCCAGGGATTTCCGATTTGTGAACTATGAAACGATAAACACTACTATTTAGTGCGTATCCAATAAATATGCAATCTACCATTTTTGGGCCGATAGCGACTTGCTTTGGAGGCGGAACGTCCACTTTTGCTAGGCACCCCCACACTTTGAAGTATTTGTATGTGGGTTTCTTGCCTTTCCATAGTTCGTAAGGGGTGGCATCCTTACCCTTAAGTGAAATCTTGTTCAGGATATAATTTTCAATCAGTACCGCCTCCCCCCATAGGTTTTGGGGAAGTCCTGAACCTATCAACATGGCATTCATCATTTCCTTAAGTGTTCGATTTTTGCATTCTGCAACGCCGTTCGATTGAGGTGAATATGGAGCCGTTGCCTGATGAATTATGTCACTTTCATTACATAATTCTTCAAACAGGACCACATATTCTCCACCTCTATCACTTCGAACTGTCTTAAATTTACAATCAAGTTGATTTTTTCCTCAGTTTTGAAGTTCTTGAAGGCCTCGATTGCTTCGCTATTTTCCTTTAATAGGTAAATATAGCAATACTTTGTGTAGTCATCGATAAAGGTGATAAAATATTTATTTCCACCTCTAGTTTGCACAAATTTTAAATCACATACATCGGTGTGAATTAAATCTAATAATTTAGTATTCCTTTCAACAGACAAGAAGGGTAATATGCTATTTTGGCCTCCATGCAAATTTCACATTTGTTTTGAGTGTTCACCTCCTTTTTATTTAGCAAATTCATATTTACTAATCTTTTTATAGCATTTAGGTTACATGACCTAATCTACAATGCCATAAATCAGAACACTCGATCAAGTACGAAGAAAGAAACAATATTTTTATTATCAGTAGGCGGTGTTCGGCGTACAGCCATTACATTTAATTTGAACCATCAAGTTGTAAGATAACCCCTAGCTAGGGAACATCTCGTTTTTTCGATAATATAAATTTATCTACTACAAAGGCAAGTTTCAAACCATGCCTAAGTAGCAGTGATATTGAGACGAGATTTTTCTGAATGTCTGGCACATGCAGGACATCTTTCAGGGTTAGTTCTTTGACAGAGGTCATCTTTAGCACCACGTTTCCTACGCCTTGGACCTCAGAAGTTGCGTGATTTCCCATGTGCAGCTTCTTCCCTTCGGTCTCCTTGTAGGTTGAGAAGTTTTCTATGTCGAAGCAAACATGGCAGGTTGCTCTGGTGTCAATATCCCAAGCTCTTGGACTTTCCATATTATTTGTTTCGTACATAACAACGACAAGGTCGTCACTATTGAGATCACGATCAGTTCAGTGGCTAGTCTTGACCAGTTGGGAACTAGGCTTCTTCTTTTTCGGTGTCTTGCAGTCCTTAACCTGGTGTCCTATTTTACCACAATTAAAACAATTACATGTAAACTTGGACTATTTAGCTTTGCCCTTGTCCATTTGAGTTGGGCGTGCACGTTTTTTGGAGGGATCTCCGACCAAGTTGGCTTTAGCAATATCTCCGATTTTAGCCTTGTGCTGCTTTATGTTGTCTTTTTCTATCTAGATTCGGACAATCAGATCTTTAAGCCCCACTCGGTTTAGCTCATGCTTCAGCCCGTGCTTGAAGTTGCTCCAACTCAGGGGCAATTTCTCGATCATCACACTCATGATGAACTTTTCTGGTAGTGGTATCTCCTCGTCGATAACAGAGTGAACAATGTGTTGAAATTCTTCCACTTGTTCGACGACAGACTTGCCATCAACCATCTTATTCGTAAGAAAAGGTTATTATCACGACAAAGGACAATAATACTGATTTTTTGTACGGATAATTTTGTTACAAAAAATGAGTTAAACTGTTACGAATTACTTTAACACGTGCATAATAGTGGCGTTGACCATCAACCTTTTGTAACAAAAAGTGTCGATACAAAGATTTTGTTGGATTAATTGGGTATTGCGAGAGTAACGTCTACCGTGAAACCGAGTCGAGGATGGATCCTCTTTCCGAAAATTAGATACACCCAGGTAGTGCCTCTGGTGGCAGGCGTTCTAATATAAAGATAAAACGATTTTCGTCTCCAATGAAAGTGGAACCTCTAATCGTTAGAGCTCCGGCGAACAAAACAAGAGAAAGGAACTAAGTTGGGGAGGTTTCCGGAAAGTTAGAAGAGATGAGAGAAGGAGGAGAGAGTTGTTGGTGTATTTTAGAATGAAGGAGGGAGGCCCTTTATATAGGTGTCTCCACTCGACCAAAATGGCAGAGGATCAATTACGATCATAATTACGACCTTAATTACCGATGTAATTTATTTTAAATTCAAACCTTCCATTTGAAGCGGTTGTCATTTATTCTAATTACAATCTTTTGTTTGTGATGATCGTAATTTATTCTAATTTCAAATCTTCTGTTTGAAACGATTGTAATTTATTCTAATTTCATACCTTTTATTTGAGATTATAATAAATCCATCCGACGGATAATATTTTATCCAAATAATACTACGACTTAGGCCGTATACCCGGGTTTAATTTGGTGCTGCACAATTTGGTTTGTCTCGAGATATGCAAAATAGCCAAAATATTAATCAAACTCCATATACAATAAATAATATTTATATATTTCTTCCAAATTAATTTAATTTGATACACCGGCCCATCGCATTTTCACTCACTAAATAATCGGTTGCAAAATAACCGATTATCTAATAGAAAAAATGGAAGAAAATGAAGGAAAGAAAAAATGGGGATGAAGAAGGAGAGAGATGAATAATCTATCCAATGCATGCAGTGGAGGAACGCCACTGCACCACTGCTGTCTTCGGTGAGACTCACAAGAAATAGGGGATTCATCGTCATCAACATTCTATTTCAATTCTGACTAGAGCATGTGTTATGACCATTGGAAGAGGATCATTTGAGCTCCATTTTATTTTATCTTTTTCTTGGGCTTATTTTTTTTTTTTTTCTTGCCTGGCCCTTTTGTACAGTTAGACCCATATATTAGAAATTCTGTTAGTTACGTGTATACTAGTACAACATGTATTATTTGTTAATGAGAGAGAAACCTTGGAGAGACAACTGATTTTGCGAATTAGGATTTGGAATTGGACTATATACTGTTGTAGACACTAAAAATATATGTCTAAAATCAATTAAATATCATGTATTTTGGAAGAAAATAAAATTCCAATAAAATAAATATATGGTATTTAATTATGCACATATGTTAATTTTTGTACAATAAATATCAACCATTAATGCAAAATCTGCTTAAAATGGAAGATATCGTACAAATATTACATGCATAAATAGAGCCATAATAAATTTGGCGGCAAAATAAATTAATTTTGTCAATAAAGGAAGTATATAAATTAATATCTTCCAAACAAGGCAATGATATAAAGATCTTGTCAATAAAGGAAGTATATAAATTAATATCTTCCAAACAAGGCAATGATATAAAGATCTTGTCAATAAAGGAAGTATATAAATTAATATCTTCCAAAAAAGGCAATGATATAAAGATTTTGGCGAAAAAGGAAGTGCATAATCAAATCCGTCAAAAATGGAAAACGGCATCCGATGAAAAAGGAAAGATTATAAAATCTTTCCATCCACGTGGCACTATCCGAAAAGGAAGCCAAGGCCACCCTCCCCTATAAATAGGAGCCTTGGCCAATTCATTTACACACCGAAGTTCATTTGAAGACTCGCGCAAGGGTAAGTCTCTCTAGACTCTCTGCAATGTTCTTCATTGTTCTTCGTGTCCTTCGAAGCGTTCTTCGTCGAAAAGTCACCGATTTGGACAAATGATCCAATATTGGTTGACGAATCGATGAAGTTAACGTTCTTCGTCGTATGTCCGAGCCGGAGGAAGGATCAAATCTCTCAAAGCTATCGAGGAATCCATCAAAGCCAAGGAAGAGCCTCCAAAGTCGCTCCCAAAGCTTGAAGATGTTCGTCGCGTTCTTCATAAAAGGCGCAAACCAGGCCCTCTTCGATCCAAAAGTCAAAGGGATACGCTGCCAAAAGCGTTATGGAGCACTAAATCCCTCCCTCAAAGATCAAATTCCGTCCGATCATCCAAAGGAGGCATCGATCCAAAGCCGACGATCAAAATTGCCAACACGGATACCAAAGTTTCCTAAAAACCGAAGAAGTCAAACCGAAGACCAAAGTCCCTTCGGATCAAAGAAGCCACCCAAATCCAAATTGGAAAAATGGATCGACCCGGAGAGAGAATCAAAGGATCCGAATAGAGAATAGGACCCGCATTAAATTTAAATTAAATATAATTTGTACAAATTTTGTGTTTATAAAAATATAACACAATTTTTTTGTCTACAGATTTTTGGCACGCCCAGTGGGACAACTCTACCTTTCATCTCTCTTTCCGTCGAATTCTCAAAAGATCAATGGCTTCCTACAAAATCAAGACTTCCAATGCTGTGTCGAAAGCTGCTGCTCTAGCCGCCACCGCCAAAGGAGTCGCTGCTACTACATCAAGAACCTCAAGTGCTTCAATGAATGCTGGAGTGATGACACGAAGTATGGCTAAAAGAGTACTGTCATTTCCCGAGGATGCACATCCGAAAATCACAGAGCAAAACTCACTCTATGAGGTGGACGAAAGCTTCAAGAGTACCTCCGCACCGGGCACCCCTCAAGAAGTTGCAACTCGTTCGACTGCATCGAGTTATGCCCCGGTGA